GTGATGTTGGACTTTCATAGAAAAGTAGTTACTTGATCATTTTCTTTTTTAGTTTACTCTGGTCTGTTGGATACTGTCTGTCTGTGTCCAGTCTGAGGTACTTACATTTAATAAACTGATTTCCTCTTTAATTACCTTGTTGTGAGAAATTGAGTCAGACCCTCTGTCTTATTGTTATGTATAGTCATTGATGCATATTACAGACAGTCAAAAATACAGAAGAAAAGGCATTACACTCATGATTTTCCCCAAGCTGACTCTGAGCAATACAAAATCAAGGGAAGAAAACACTACCAGACGCTTTATTATTGAATGAATGAAATATTAACTGTATTTTGCCTAGAGCAGCTACACACACACACAGACCTTCCAACTCACAAATTCACAAACGCAATCTCAGCATATTCCAGGAACACGACGGCAGCATTAGGCCTTATATAGTGCTCCTGCTGTCACTCATACTGCACTTCTGGTATTTCCAACCATTACATTATTAAGATATCTGTGAGAGGTATTAGAAAATGCCCCAATTTGTTTTGCTGAAATTATCTGCTCCTCTGCACAGACACTCCAGCTCAGAGATTAGTTTATTATCTTTATCCGCATGATTCGAGTGTTGCTTGATTGTAATAACTTGGAGGCAGCAGGGCATGTGAAAATCCTGGGTGGTGTTTTATCATTCACATGCAAGTAACCATAAAAGCTTGTTTTGTGAAACTGTCAGTACAACACTGTTTAAACTCAGGAGCGGAGTCAAGTATCATAGATCAGAAAGAGTATACAAACTGGACAATGTTAATCTGCACAATGACACGAGATAATGAAAAGTAGTGGCTAGAGATGTTACCTCAGTTTAGAATGCCTTGGTTAAATACAGCAGGGCTATTCAACTTAATTTTGTCGAGCAATATCTTTTGGAGGAGCATGGTCTCTGAGTCAGATAGGAGCATGACACAGCACCACTTTTAGTACAATTTGGTGATGTACAAAATATAGAGACCTGTTTCAATAATGATAGTAATCTGACTAGTACCAACCAGATCTAAAACAATACTAAATCAGAACGAAGCCAGAATTAAACCAGGTCTAAACCAGGACTCAGCCAGTAACAATAGATTATATGCAGATAAGGGGCATATAGGGGCAGATAAGTTTGTTTGGAGGGCCTCAGTTGTGTTCACTAAAGAAATATAAGGTTGCAATTAATGTATTTGACTGTATTTGACTATTTATTAATTGTAATGTAATGTGATATACATTTAGAATGCACTACAAGAACATGAGCAGCAAACTATATGGTTCAAATCACTGCATGGTCCTTTTCAAATTAATTCCCCAAATCAAGACATCCATGCGGTGCTTCTCTATGTTTTGTTTTTCTGTGTTTAAATTTGCACTTGTACCTGTGAATGTTGGAGCATACATATGAACTTTGTATGCAGGTGACAGACTCATAGCTGATTCTGCCCCACAGCAAAGAACTTATGACTTTGATCTTCTTCCTCCCTGTGTGGGGCTTGTATGTGCCCAGAATGAAAGATTTCACATAAACAGCAAAGTATATTTCTTATTCATTCAGTTGTACTTGTTTTGTTCTATAGAGTTTCATTTTATAGATCACTCATCTTGAAGATACTATATTAAGTAAAATTGTCTTTTGTGATCTTAACTTGGCATTACAGCATCAAAAACATGCTTGGAGTTGTGTTTAGTTTCATGCACACATGAGTAACCATTTATTATTAGTCTCTCTTCATCTCCAAAGCTCAAAATGCTCTGTTCCACCTTGTGATGTCATGAAGCGAGAGTTTTCAAGTTAACAGCTACCTTTTTATCTTTTGTTCAGTAGAAATTGGCAATTCCCGTGCTGAAATTATCCAAAAGATTCTAGTTAAAGTGTATGGAGTTTAAAAAGACAAAGGAGCACTTCCCACATGAGATTATGTGTATGTGTGAGTGTGTGTGTGTGTGTGGGTGTGTGTGTGTCTGTGTGGGTGGGTGTGTGTGTGTGTGTGTGTGTGAAAGATTAAACAAAACACAACTCCAGGTATGTTTTTGATGAGGAAACAGCATTATAACATAGATTAGATAACAGTGTAATATGGGCCCTTTAACTGATAATTAGACTTTTGTTGCCTTCTAGCTGTGTGCTATTACATCATCTGCATATATACTGTCTAGTACTCATCAAACTTGTTTATTTTCTGTTGCAAGGTCTCGAAGCATAGCCATCCCTGCTCTTCTAGCTTTGTTGTGAAGGTCTTTTTCTCCGGGCTGACATGGTTCTTTGTGGAGAGAAAATGACAGTGTTTACAGATGGAGAGCCCTGGGAGTGAGGAGGAAAAAGGGCAGACAGATAAAGTCCTTTCTGATCAGAGGATACAAACATGGCGTCTCTGTGGCCCAGCCTTCACCTTTGAGTTCTCTCTGTGTTCCAGACCAAGACAGATGCACACTCTGTTGCAGAGTGTGGAGGCTGGCTCTGAGCCCTGCACCTTGACATGACTTTTTCTAAAGGATTTCTGGAAAGCTTTCAAAAACCACGAGCAATCTCTCCAAATCAAATTACAGATGTTTCTGGCCTTGTATTACTCATGGCTATTTGTGCTTCATGTTTTTATTTGAGCAACTATAATCAATACTAACCTTAACAGAAATAAGATTTTAGACATAGATGGGTATTATATTAGTTGGTTTTAATGTAGTTTTAATATTTGTCAGACTCCCTCATCACTGGAGTTGTCCTGGAATGTTTTTCCATTTTTCCATTATATAAGTTTATAATACATCATTAATTTGTTTACTTATTTATTCAACTAAAACCCTGCCAATTGAAAAACATCGTTATTTAGCCTGTTTATGGATTGCCAGTGACACCTTAGCTCATCAGAAATCCTACTGCAAATTGTTGTGTACCCTGCCATGCTATAATGTATTCCAAATTATACATGTATCTGATGCTTTTGTGCTGTCTCTTTTTAGCAGTGTTTCAGCGTGGTCTTCTAGAACCCATTGAAATGCACTCTGCAATTCTCTAGTGGCAGAATATCTGTGGTGGTGATGACTGGATTTCATAGCCTCTTTTGGATATTTGAGCACATTCACACTTGACATTAGAGCTGCTCACTTATCACCAGATTATCATACAAAACACATTATCATATGAGCTTTGAGGCTCTTATCATGTAGATGTAGTGAGATGATCCTCTCTGAAAAACTGTTTTGTTAAATCTATAGCCATAGAGCTCAGTAGTAATACAAATACTATACATTTTCATCTGTATGCTGGATACTGTGGAGCTTGTCAGAATGCTTCCTGTAATTGAAGCCTTATTGATTTTGGGGGTGACTCTTCTGTTTGCGCTCTCTGTCCCTGGTGCATGCTTTAACTCTGACCTCTTCATACATTTCACACTGGTAACACACAAGTTCTGTTAGCCACATGTTAAACCCATAAATAATCATTCCTGTACCTAGAAACTTCAAGTACTACCAGTCCTGAAGTGTCAATATTATATTGTAATCTCTGGGGTATTCGTATAGTGTTAGGAAATTATCTTGAGCTTGGCTTGGTCAGGACCATGTGAGTGTAACTTATGGAACATGCTTTAGGTTGATGGGGGAAACTAGAGTGTGCATAAAAAACGTCACCAGAAGAACAGAGAAACTCTGCACAGAAAGGGCTGGTCCAGCCCAGGAGTCCAAGACTTTAGTGCTCTTTTATACTCATTTATTGTGCCACAGTCGGACGTAATTGCTGTTTGTTTTTGTTGGGTTTTTTTGTTGGGTTTTTTTTTCAATAGTTTGACACTTTTCTCCTCAAGATTTCTTCTAATGCTCTCAAAAATATCTTTCTACCCGACAAATGAGAAACTGTAAAAAAGAAGCTCCTTGGCCTGAGTATAAGTGCACTGTGGCACATTAAGAGAAGTGCAGCTGTTCACTGTAGTTTTACCTGTGGGTGTTTGTGAATGTGCAGAGTGCCCACACATCCTGAAGAGCGGCTGTCCACTGGTTTAAGCCACAAGATGTTTTAAGATAATTTAGCCGCAGTGGGCCGATGGTTTAGAGCTGAGGACCATTTTGTGTTTCTATGAAGCAGGAAGTCTCCTGTCCTCCTTGAAATCTCAGGTCCACTGGGGACGCTCCATTGTCTCTGTAAGATTTATTGAACTCCCACATCTCAGGCAGCGGACATGAATCTTTTCAGCTCCAATAAACAAAAAGTGATCAGGGCTTTGCGCAGACGCCAATGGAGTGTGATATGTAATATGTCTCAGAGGAAGGTACGCTCTCTCTGTGCTAATGATCTTTTGGTAAACAAAGTAATTCGTTTAGCGCTTTTAAAAGCTTTTCGAGATCTTGTAACACTGGTTTGGTTTTCTAAATAGTGTCACTGTGATCCACTGGCCTTTTATTCGTGTTTGTGTTGTTTTACCATCTGCCAAATATGTAGCCACAAACAAACTGATGTGTGTTCTAACTTCTATCTGATCTACAGTAACCACACGAGCCAGTCTACCTCTGGTCTAGTAGAGGCTTGCCACCTGCTTGTGTTTATGGAGATATTATTGCACGCACGCACACACACACGCAAACACGCACGCACACAAACATACATATAATCTGTGTTCTTCACCTTGCAGTTCACCTGTTAATGTTCATTGTTAAGTTAACACAAACGCCTACATTCAAAGTACTATCGACCTCCATCTACCTTTCCCCCTTTGAATCCTGTTCTCTTGACTCATGCTCTTAATGTAGATGTCTGAACTTCTGAGATTACTGTAAACATCTGACCTTCGACATGTTTGGGTTAATTCACCTCCGTCCTGTGTTATGAGCTGCTGAGCTGAGCATTAAATCCAAGATGCGGTCAGCATTCGGCTAATGGGTGCCAAGGTTGGAGCACTCTGGCCTCTTGTGTGTTTATATGGAAGAGTTGAAGAGTCAAAAGTATCCGTCAGAGATCAATGCTGTGTTCTTTGTGTGTGTTGCAGTCTCAGCAGAAGTGCATTGTGATCTTTGCACTGGTGTGCTGCTTCGCTGTGCTGGTGGCCCTCATCTTTTCAGCTGTGGACATCTGGGGAGAAGACGAAGATGGGATCACAGAGGAGAACTGTGAGAGCAGCTGTCGGTAAGATTTTGTCTAAAACTCGAGACACGTGTCAGGCTCAGTGTCATCATCATGCATCAGAAATGTGCTGTGATATAAGACCCCACAGTCTGAATTATTAAGCCAAGCAAATGTACTGCTGTACTTGACTTGGCTTTTCCTTTTTTTTTTTTACATGATTATTATAAAAAAAATACCTTGAAATAACAGGTATGCTATTTTCTTTTTGTATTTAAAGGGACCACATTACACCATTTGCTGATTTATGTTATAATGTTGTTTTCTGATCACAAATATACCTGGAGTTGTATTTTGTTTCTTTCACACATGTTTAACACACAAACCTTGCATATTTAGAGAGTTTTTTTCTCAGACAGAATAAACTCAGGAAGTGCTCCACTGTGTTTTTAAACTCCATCTTCACTAGAATCATTTGGATAATATCAGCCTTGAATTGTCAATCTCTACTGAACTAAAGGTAAAAGGTAGCTGTTAACTTGAAAACCACAGTTTTATGACATCACAAGGTAGAACAGACTGTTTTGAGCTTTGGGAATGTAGACGACTAATGAGCAGCACATCATTACTTAAAATGTTTGAATTAAACAAAACATAATATAACTGTAGGTATGTTTTTGGTGAGGTAACAACACTGTAACTAATGGCTAAAAGAGTCACTATTGTGTAATATAGGCACTAAACACATAAGGTGGCTGCCACCATAGGGGCCCTAAGTTTAGTCACATAAAACAAGGGAAATGAAATTAATTATGACCAAATAGTCATAAAAAACCTTATGTTCAAAGTCACTTATCTTCATATTAATATATAATGTTTTAAAAGCCCGTAAATGCTAAAACAAATACAACAGTGACTTATGGATATAGATTATAGATAGATAATATAATATAAATTGTTTTTCATCTAAACAGTGTTCTTTGTTTTGCAGTATTTGGTTACATAATGGTGCATGCTCATCAATTACTGTACAATGTTGTGATGTGCTCTCCTTTGTGCCATTTTGAGTGCAGCTTTATTGATTAGAAACTGTACAATCCTCAATAAAACCTGTCCTGCTATAAAACTTGTCTGGGTTGGAGTTAAGTTGTTATTTGTTTTGATACAATTGATAGATCAGACTATTGCATAAAAAGTAGAGGCTTAGATGTGATTGGTTTCTAATATTGAGTTAGTGGCCCACATTGAAAATACTGGATCAGCACTGGTTTGGCTGAGGCAGCACTCTTCTTCTCACTTCCTACTGGTTCTCCTTCATTACATTTGTATCATCCAATTTGCCATTCAGCCTTGGATTGCTTCCCCCCTTCTCTCTCTCTTCATTCTTTATGCTGTGTCCGTGCTCTCTTTCTTTCCCCTAAACAAGATGCCTAACAAGTCTTTCTGCCAGCTTTCTCCTCCACTTTGGGTCTAAGTATAGTGAGTGTGAAGGACCCCCAAGGTTTTTAGAGGAGCAAAATGAACAGTGGAGGAGAGCAGAAGCAGATGTGGGAGAGATGGAGATAGGAGCTGTTGGCTTGTTCTTTCTCATTAGTCGACTCTTCAGTAGCGTCAGAAATGTCTCTTTATGATTAGCCTAAGGACCACCGATGTCATTCTACCAAAACTATTGCACATTTTATGAGACTATTTCATTTGTAAGTAATTGAATCATACATGGCAAATAGCTATCAACTCTCTACTATAAGAAAATACTAAGCATGCATTTTGGGTGATTTTTTTTTATACAAGGGATGCGCTACTCCAGCTTTTTATGCTCTGATACCGATGCTGATACTTTCGTTTTAAGTGTCTGCCTATACATGATATCAAGAGACTGAAAACATAATTTATTTCCTTTAATTACAAATGACAATGGGAAACAAATGTGTTTTGCAACTTATTTATCATATAAAGTAATTACAGAACAGCTTTGAAAAAAATGTTCAAGTATTTTGGGCCAGTATTGATAAAAAAATCTTCTCATTACAGCTATTTATAGACCAAAATGGGATATTGACTGAACCGATGTCTTGGACCGATATCCGATCAGTTTGAATTTTCAGTATCAGCACAGATATTCGATTCCAGTATCTTGTTTGTACATCCCTACTTATTTACAGTATTAATGAATGAACTTAAGTGTTCAATGCCTGTTAATATTATGAAGCTAAGATAGTACTGCTCTCTCCACCAAATTCTTTAGGCATGACACTTAATATTGTTTTATTCAGTATATATATTATGCCAAACTAAAATATTCAGGACAGCATTTCCTAATACACTGTTGTTATTAGTTCTTTAATTTGTGCCACACTACAGTCTATATTCTATTATTCTATTGAATGAAGGGAAAGATACACATGATAAGACCTGTTTTTCATATCATACACAAATAATTTAATCGTCTTCTCTAAAGATTTTTCCAAACTACAGGTGCACTTAAGCCCCGTACTGTATAATCTTATCCAAAGTGATGTATTTTCTTGCCTAACGTGTACCAACTCCATACCAGACAATTTATAAGCAAGTTAGCATTGATTTACCCATGCCCATAAAAACACACTGACCATAGTGAACTGTTAAATTCTGTTTATAGCTTATAGTATTTAGCATCTTCTTCCTTCAAAACACAGAGCAACAAATTATTTTTGACATATTGTATACCAGAGACATTTTATAATAATTTTAATCTTTGCTTCTGATTAATTGTATGTTTATTGTTTACAGTTGGGACAGGTTTGTAGATAGATAGATACATAGATAAATACAGAGATACATAGATACATAGATAGATACGGTGATACATAGGTAGATACTTTATTGTCCTGAAGTTAATTCATGCAACTAATCATGTTATTTTAATATATGCAAGTATCAGTGTCTGCTTACTTATTTAAGTATATGATTATTTACAGACATGTACAGGCTAAATGAGTATAGATTACAACAGGGGCCTTGTTGTACCTAATTAAACCCTATCTCTCCCTATCAGCAGTATACAGGCAGCGGCTCTGTGATACTCATATTAATGTCCACTCTGCTCTAACAGAAGGCCAGCACCCCAGAGAGGCAGAAAGAGGCAGGGAGAGAGAAAGAGAGAGGTGGAGAGAGAGAGGGAGGGATGGAGAGAGCAAAAGAGAGAGGGAGGCAGTGAGAGAGAAAGGAGAGGGATGCAGAGAAGGGAAGGACGGACGGAGGGAGGGAGGAAAGAGAGAGGGAGGGAGGAAGAGAGCAAAGAAGAGAGGGAGACAGAGGCAGTTAGAGAAAAATAGAGAGGGGAAGAGAGAGAGAAAGAGGGGGTGAGAGAGAGAAAGAGAGAGAGAGAGAGAGAGTGAAAGAGAGAGGGAGAAAGAGGGAGAGCGAAAGATAGAGAGAGTGTGTGTGTATAATTTATCAGTTGTCAGCAGCCCCCTCTGCCTTGGTAATTTTCAACCTGACCCGGTGTTGTGATTGTACAAGTGAATCATGCGTGTTTTTTGTATGTAATGGGTTTTATGACATAGATTATTACAACACTGTGCAGTGATTTATTATGTGCGTAAATCTGACACAGCAGATTTGAAAGGCTGTGCAATAAACAACAGAAATATAATGGTTTTAGTTTTAAGAATCCAATAATTATGGCATCACCTATTACATAAAAATAATATTGTTTTAGGGCTTCAGTAATTAATCAGAGAAGATAATGAGATAAATGATAATCGATTACTGAAATAATCCACAACTAATTTGGGAATCGATCAATTTCTATCTGTGGTAATGATTTATAGCTTTTATTAACAGGGTTTATAATGCACAGGAATTACACATAGCTTTACTATTTATAATTTATCTATGTAAAAATATTTTTATAAACTGTTTTAAACTGTTTTGTGTAGTGAAAAGACCAACCAGGGACAGGAGTTGAGGATTAGTACTTTCTACACACATGCTCTACCCGTGACTACGTATGAGTGCATTATCCCTGTCAATAGATTAAAAAAAATAACGTTACAACTTATCTGTCTATAAATTTGCTCTATCCATATATTTGACTGCATTCTTGTGACACCATTTAATTACACTTCTTGATAGTTTCACATTTATTCAAGCTTTATTTTCTGAATACCAATTAACCAGTCCTGCAAATAATTTGATCCATTAATTATCCAAATTAACCTGTAATTGGAACTCTAATTGTTATGTCATTTTGAGACTGATTAATCAGGAACCTAGGAAAAACACAGTAATATTACTCAGTCTATACTATTACTCTTGATGCTATATTTCTACAGACATTTCGTTCTACTGGAAGTTTTGTTTACCATTTCTACTAGAGCCCGACCGATATGGATTTTGTTGTGGCCGATATGAAACTGATATAATGGGAGTTGGGGCTGCCGATAGCCGATATAATCGTCGATATATTTAGTGATGTAAAAATTCACTGTAAATCTTGAATTGATTAAAAAACTTAGGTTTGGCTCTAGTGAATTCTAAATTGGGTTTATTTAGGCAACATTTATTGTTATTTTGACTCTTCACATCAAATTTACATACAGTAGATTGGCCTAATGGCATTTTTGCATCACATTCTAGCTACTGTTACTGTCACTGCTAGTGATGGGTATTCCAGTTTTTTTTGTTTTTTTTGGAGAACCGGCTCGGCTCACTAAAGCAGCTGGCTCTTTCGGCTCCCAAGCGACTCTTGAGATTGTTTTGTTGCAAGCAGGACTAAACCAGAACTGAACCAGGACTGAATGTCGGGACTCAGTTTCTATCTTTCTCCTGCACTCGAGCCCAAGATTAGTCCTGGTTTATTCATTTTATGCTGAACTGCAGCCAAATATGCACTTTTTTATCCTATGCACACGCAGATTTCTGAAAGTTTCGTTTTCAGCCGCTGCTGCTGTCAAACTACGGGTCTACATGCGGCATGAAGAGAAAAAGTGAGAAAAAGAGAAAACACGGCTCCCAATAAGAAACATGCTCCCGTTGTTCGCTTCAAAGAGCCGGATCTAAGAGCCGCTTCGATCGCGACC